GTTATTTGGCGTTACAGGAAACTGTGCTGCCTGCAGTAAGCTCATACCTGCTTTTGAGATGGTGATGAGAGCTAAGGACAATGTTTATCACCTGGACTGTTTTGCATGTCAGCTTTGTAATCAGAGGTAAGAGAATTTGCTGGGTCTGTTCCATAGTCTAAGTGCTAGTTCGGCACTGGTGTGGGCATGCATTCCAGAGAAGAGGAAACATTTAGGAGTAGTAGAAACCCAAGACAGAGAGTAAGACCTGGGTGCTTCTCCTGGGACTGATACAGAACATCTCTCATGACCTTGGCCAGGAAACTTTTTGTGCTTCAAATCTCACATCAATAAAAAAGAATAATGTTACTTCCTCTCCTTCAAAAGGCTGTCTGTCAGGTTTAATTAATTAATATTTATAAAGGTCTTTGAGATCCTTTTCTGCAGAAGAGCATAGCAGTACYATTTGTCACTATTGCATTAATTTCACTTTAATTCTTCATTTTTATCACATGTATTTCTTTTAAAGTACACATTGTTTCTTCCTGTTGCCAGAATTGTAATCATTTAAATTTAAAAGATGTTGTTTCCACCATTTCCTCTGTAGCAGCATTGGACCTCTTGCAGTCCTTTTATTTCCATATCCAAACCGTAGGTTATAAAAATCCCAAGGATCCAAACCTGACACCCTGTTCTACAGCATCACCCATATGGCACATTTGGAGAACGAATGTCAAAAATGGTAAAATTGTAACAACTGATTTTTTTCAGAGGTGAATTGAGCCAAGTTTTCACCAGCTACATTCAGAGTGGTGGCCAAATCCTGTCAGAGATTTCACCGAGAGCTGCATTTCTGACTCCACGAGGGCTGAAAGCAGCTTTGCCAGTGACTTCTATGAGGTCTGGGAAGTGAGAGAGCCAATTATGTCCACTCCTTAATGGYCCTATTATTTTCAGTTATTTTTCAGTTATTACATTATCCTACTTAGCGTTTCATAGCATTCATATTTTTTTTTTTTCATTTTCAATTGGGAAGCAAGACAAGATGTATCTTTTTAGGGAAGCAGTGAAAAATTAGGAAGATRATAGTCTAACATGACAGAGCTAGACCCACAGCTCTAAATAAGCTTTCCCAACTCACCTTGTCCTACAGTGTATTATTTTTTAACACTGTAGTCATTTAAAAATCAAACATCCCTAAAGTACCATAAAATGTAYAGCTGCTAATAAGTGTAGCACACTACAATTACGCTCTTTAAAAAAAAGCCAAATTGACCTTTTTCATCATGTTGCATGGGAAATTAAAATACCAGGCAAGTAATAACCACTGCTTAGACTATATAATAATGCAAAGTAATTATAGGTTCTAATGCTATTTAAAGTCCTATATCAATTTTGCCTTGCCACAGAACTGAGAAGCCGTATTCTAAGCAAGGCAGGCARAGGCTCCCACAGTCCCCATTTAGGAGACACACACACTGTCTTAGGTTTCGTTTCCTGAACCTTTCACATCCTGTTTTTTTCCAAACCACGGTTCTGGTATCATTATTAAAGTGCCTAATATATTTCTGTTGTTCGCTTCATTTATTACATGCCATAATGGGGCTGCATATCTTTAGTGTTGGTTATGCACAATTAGCACTTAGTTATTGTCTTGTCACTTCAGCCCATACAAGACAAACTTCTTTAATGTAAGAAGTCAGCTAATCTTCATCAGTCAAGCAAAGCAGACAATGTTTGTTAGCCRGAGTGCAAAAGATTTTCATCATAGTTAGCACTCTTGGAGCTGAGGAAGTGAACTTTCTTTTTCTTCCCGCACCCTCCCCACACCCCCCCYCCCCCCCCCMCMAAAAAAAAAAAAACCCACAGCTGTTATGAATATTT